GAACCCTTAAATAGACAATGACTAAAGTTGTACATGTGGCTTATTGTACCCTCGTTGATATGTTACTGTAAACCCTTGCAGATACTTTAATAATAAAGGGAAACCCCCGACCAATGAGGTCATTCTATAAACTGTAAAAAAAAAAAAATAATAATTTAAAGCAACAACTTTTTGAATCAGATCAAATAACATCTGCAGGGGTCGGTTAAAGTGGAGCGAATTCAATATATGATCTACATACTGCATAAGTTGCATTCTTGATATCTATATAACCAGCTAACTTTAATTGCATCAAAAAGGCAACCCTAAACCTTGCTTCGCTTTAACCGACCCGAAAAAAAATCTTGTTTACCTGGACGGCAAAAACGATGACGCCCCTAGCTCTCCCACAAAAATTGTTCACCCCCTGTAATTTTGACTAATCGAATTTCAGGATCAGGTGTAACGTAAAAATCGAAACGAACTCATTTTTTTACAAAAAAAAAACTAACTCTAAATTTTAATTAGGAAACCACCTTCTGCGGTCTAATTAAAAATGTTCCTCGTGATGTTTTACTTATAAGAGCAATATTTTCCTAATCCTAACCCTAACTATAACACTGTTTTCTCGGTTTTCATTTTACACGTAATTTTTACTTAGAAAACAAATTTTGATCGGTCAAAATTACCGGGGATGATTAATTTTTTGTCGGAACGCTACCTAAAATAAAGTCTACATTTTCTCAGGAAATTGGTTCACAATTTCTTAAAACAACTGCATTATTCGATGACGATTTGGGTCTACATTTTCTCACGACGAGAATAAACGCGCACGGAGTTTCGGTCTGTGTGTAACCATCTGAGTGGCTAGTGTGTTAATGTAATACAAGTACATCAAAATTCTTTATAAAAAGGTACGCTTTATCCACGAGAGAAAAAAAAATTTATAAAAAAAAAGTTTTTTTTTTCTTGTTCTTTAATACCACAAACAAAATTTTGCAAAAATCCTCGCTGTTCCTTTTGCTTATGAGGCAAGATCCCATATACGGATGAAATTTTATTTTAATACAAAAATATAAACAATAAAATAAGTAAAACTACAATGACTAAAGCTTTGCTTCTTGAATCCGCAAATAAAATAAATGATCTACAAAAAATGAAAGAAGAGGAAGAGGAGGAGGAAGAAGAGGAAGCATCTGTGCGAAATTTGAAATCTGCTAATGATATTCTAATTACCAAAAAACGAAATTCAAACAATACTGTATTGAAATCTATCAAAGACGACGAACAAATTAACCTTGCCTCAATCTCCAAAGAACATAAATGAATTGACTATCAGATATATTTATGAGCTTCGGAACCTCATTTTTTATTTCGGTTATTGACTCAGAAAGTCTTTGAAAACATAAGAGATGCGAATGGGCAAATCAATTAAGTTCTGAACTTTGCACAAAAGGGAATGACATGGAATTATTTCATTTCTTGACTGAAGGCCCACATACGATAGATCAGGCTTACGACATCTTACATTAAAATATGTCTTCAATAGAAGATTTGATCTTGTCATGAAGTTTATTCCATTTCCTCCTCGACCAAAATCTAAACAAATAAATGGAATACCCATCAAAGGATGGCTACGAAAATAACAGACATCTTAATGTCATCGCCTGTGCTATTTTAATTTCGAAAGATCTAGTAAAACTTTGGAAGAAAATAGGATATTATGAAATTTGCGACGATGTAGATGATCTTGTAATGCAGGGAGCCTTTCTGATTCTCTTCCCTCCCAATCTTCTGTAAAATGGGTTCAAGGAACTAGTGGATTTTGGCATTGTGGACATTTTCTTATGAAATCTTTTATAAATATTAAGGAAGAAAGAAAATCTCGAACCGATCTAGCAACTTGCAGATTCCTGTTTATATTTAATAACAATATGATTGGCTAATTTTACGAAGATCAAAACGTGATCATTAACAATTAAAAAAAATAACTATATTCATTGTATTTTGAAAATCATTTTATTTTGTTCTCATCCATAAAGACCTTTATTAAAGATGAATCACATCCTTTAGTTCAAATAATTAGCGAAACAATACTATTATACATGTTATCGACCCATTACTTTGCTAAACCTAAAGTTACGCATTAGTACGTATAAGCTTCTCATTATACAGTATATATTATTGTTATTATAATATGTTACACTAAATTCTTCAAGTTTAAATCTTACACGTAATGCTTTATCTTTTTTGTTGACCGTTTCTAGCGTTTAGAACTTATATACATATAGCTCATTTATAATAGATAGTAAAATATTTTCTTCCAAGTGAAGTTCTTCAGTTGTGGATTACAGTATTTTAACAGTAAATATTAACGTTCGCTTGGAGCTAGAAATGGTTTTCATGGTGATTTTTTTTGTTAGTGAAATGTTAGTCAACCAAATGAATGCCTGATGAACGCAAGATATTTTACATAATTATGTGATAATAAAAAATTTGATTTTGAAAATGAAATTTCATCTGTTTCTCATGATGTTTAATTATTATTACGTGCAAACAAATTCAGAATATCTGTCTAAGAACAGCTATATAGATTTAGTTCATTCATGGAAAACAATTGGCTACTGTTACTATGAAGCACAAATGATTTTACAAAATGCATCTTTTTGGTTCTTTTCTCACCTACGCCTTTAATGGAATAGAAAAAGTCAAGTACAGATTAGATAAGATATAATTACGTAGAAATCAAGTTGTGTTGTATAATAAAAATTTCGATTTTGCTAATGAATTAATGTTTATATATTTCTAAATTAATTAGAGTGAAATAAGATGAGAATAATTATGATAGTAAAGGTTTATAAACTTGAATAATCTATTTCAAATGCCCTAGCGTTAGTTTATAAATGAGAGATAGTCCAGAAAATACAGTTTGGAAATTTAAGGATTGATGAATAATTTATAATATTGAGTTGAAAATTAACAATTCTTAAATTTCCAAATTGACATTTTCCTAGACCACCTCTTAAATATTTATTTTTTACTTATTAAATTAACATAAACTTAATGAATTGGTGATCTTTATACCACTCATATAGTTAACTACCTCTTTATATTACTATTAAGTTACAATATTGATAACATTTCTCTAGATTAAATTAGTTAAATATTCTAGATATAATTTTTATATATATAATATTAATGGATTAGTTTATATGATATATTAGCTTGTATGATTATCTTTTAATTTATAGACTTTAGCAAACAAATTTGCCTGCTTAATACTATAAAATTAGCTCTGATTTATTTTTTTTAATATTCAAAATATTTAAATAAAATTTGGTATAATAATATTTTTTATTTCAGTAATCATTCCTTTATTTTATAAGTTGGCAGCAAATTACAACAAGATACCTCAGTTGACTAAATCTACATTATCTATCAAAAATGCTATATGCCTATCCAAATAAAAAATCTTTTGAGAATAAACTAGTTTTAAAGAGCCTTAGTGGCAGGAATTCTTTCAGAAAAAGCATCTGATAGTGTTAAGTCAATCAGAGAGTTTAAATAGAAGATTTACAAGTAGATCTTAGATATGGCAATTGTAAATAACTATAGATAGAAATAGATATAGTAGAGCTCTTAATTAGACAATAACTAAAGTTGTATATGTGATCAATTGTATTTTTGTTGATGTAACAAAGTCAAGAGGTGTTTATTTGGTATCCTGATAATTAAACTATGAAGTTAATAAACCGTATCAGACCCTCAAGTGGTTATCTTAATATATAAAAAATAAAAAAAATAAAAAAAAATAAGAAATCTCTTGATCTGTCTTATTACAGCAAATTATAGTAATCTATAATTAAGTGCTAGAGTATAACCCAGAAGCAACCTGTTTAAGTAACAATTTTTCTCTTTTTAAGATTCTCAACTTATTAAGAATATGGGCTCCAAATATCAACAAATAGGATTCACTAATTTTGTCAAAATCATCACTTTACAATAGAGTATAACCAATATGATAACACTTTCTTGTAGAGAAGTAAAAAAAAAAAAGGTAAGTGTAGAGTAAAAAAAGATAAATAAAAAAAATAAACATACAAAGAAGATGATTAAATTATAAAGAAATTAAAAGACTATTCTAAAATTTAAAAAAACTTGTCTACAAATATAAAAACCTGCTAACTAGATAAAAAATTATCTATATGGTTATAGAAATCTATATATATAGCTATTTAACAAAAGATACTACAATGCACTTTAATCTATACTAAAAGTTAAAAATTATATGCTTATGCCTTCAAATTATTGTATATCTCATATAATTGCTTTAGTTGCCAACTCTCATATTAAATCTAACTCAGGTTCTAAAATAACCAACTTTAAGGTCTCAACACATGATTATCGATTTTAATTTTGTTTTTAAAATTTTTTTCGTATACGTGTTTGTTGTTTTTCTTATTTGTCATATTGCAACTTGAGATTTTTTAAGAATGAAAGTGATAAACAATATCGATCTCTTGCTAATCTTTTGGAAGATAGCCAAATCTCTCACTTTTGTTAAAAATTATAAAAAAAAAATAGCTCAAGGAGAGTATAGCTTTGCAAGATTCCAAATTTAGAGAATATTTTTTCAATCTATTTATTTCATCCTTTAGTTTTTTCTTTCTTCTAAATATAGATTTTAATGCTATAGTATTCCCAAAATATTCTTTTTGTTTGGATACTGAATATATAAGGGGAGTCTATCAAAAAAACAAGCTTGACCTCTCTGAAAACTAATTACAACCACCTGCTTCTTAGTATTATTATATTTGTAGTCTTCATTAATAACATTCTATTACTAGAGATAGAAGTTTACTAGAACTTTAGGCTTCAACTCTTCATCTTGTATTTAGTAAAAATTTAGTTCAAGTGATCATTAGATTTAGTATAATAATATTTAAAAATAAGGATTACTTTTTGTAATATTTATTTTTAGATTATAAAAACAAAAATTTAAATTACTTATAAACCAAAAATATATAATTTTAAAAATAATTTTTAATAAAAAAAATATTTTAGTTTATCTATAACAAACCTTTTAAATATTAATTTTAAGTCTATAGTTTCTAATACAACTTTATAGTTTAACTAAAAAATTATAATTTTAGGACTTAATTAGGCATCGCAACCTGTGATGTGCTTATATATTATATTTTAGATGATTGACCAATCAAATTTCAAGATCAGGTATAACGTAACACGATCAGAAAGATTCAAAACAAATGTTCGTTTTGGCAAAAGTTACTTATAACTCAAAATTTCATATATGAAACTATCT